AAATCAAGTGACTTTTGATAAATATTTTATATCTTATACAATTGGTAGAATAAATCTCCGTTCACTTTTATATATTCAGAAATCTAAAGACCATTTATCGATTAAAAATGAGGAGATTCCGTCCAGTCAGAAACTTAATAACGTGACAGACTACGACTGGACGGTTGCATAACTTGCCTGCATAAGGGTTGGCTGGATTGTAATGATATTATAGCCAAAAATAATGGTAACGATAAATCCCCATGTTTTTCTGTACATTTTTGATTCTTACCCAATAATCACTACCCTTGCATCCTCCGTCTGTTGTTTGGCAACTGTGGGGTTCTACGCGTTTGAGTGCCATTTTTTGTAATATCTAAATCTGCCGTAATCAAGTAGAGGACTTAATGATAAATATTTGCGAATTTTCTACATAATGAAAATATATAACGTCAACAGTCAATTGTAACAGTTTTATATGTGAAAAGTTCTAAACTATTGATAATAACATCAAAAGCGGGTTTTGGAGATTTTAGTAATTTAATAGTTGAATTCGTGAGACGACTGAAGCCAGACCAATGTGGAAAACGTGGAAGCACCGTAAGGCCATTTCGTTCTAATATGGGACTTCTCAGCAGTGCGCATCCGCGGTAGCACAATTCCATGAATTGGTTGAAGTTAGACATTAACAGCGTTGGACGCCTGCTCAGTGGTTTAGAGGTTAAGTGTTCGCATGCTAAATCAAAGGTGATGGGTTGCAGTCCTGTGTACAGAGTCATGTATGCACACTGTTGAGGAGTCCCATACTAGTACGAAACTGGCATCCAGTGTATTCAAGTTTTCAATTGACTCATGAATTCAACTATTAAAATATTCTACTATTCTTTGATAATTCATTCATCCTATATTTATTGAACTTTCGAATTACATAACTTATTTCATTAGTTGCGGATGATATAACAATAAAATATGATAAATTCATTCCATTCATTTATACATAATTTGAAATTATGAAATGAACTAATTACGTATAATCTAAATCAAGATATACAAACCAAACAGTATGCAAGTAGTCAAAGATTTCAGTATTTTTAACAAACATAATACAAATGGTATGTAGATAAGTGAAAATCATCAATAAGACTGTAATTCTATTTTACTTCTTTGAGGATGGAATTAATTAGTTACAAACTAATTAAATGGAACTATTTATATATAATATAACGGAATTATTCTATGTGAAACTATTTATTCTCCTACCTATTCATTATATATATATATACGCTTAATCTGTGCGCTTCTTCGTTCGTGCTTCCGAGTGCTTGTGGAATAAAGTTCAATGGCCCGGCATCTGAGTCCAGTAAGATAATACGGTTGATTGTGTTTGAGATATATATATCGCCTGTTCTCATATATAATCATCGTCTTAAATGGCGTTGGTGAATAACGGAATCGAATAAGTTAAATACGAGAATGGATGTCGAATACGTACATGTTGTACACTCATTGATCTGAGCAGACAATCAGAGAAATGAAGCGAAGAGAAGATAGCGAAGCGAAATGACACGCAGTGGAGATGTGTGAGCCAACTCGACTTAATCAAGTGTTAATCGATATTTATAGTCACACAAAAATAAGCTACAGGTATTTGATGAGTACGATCAAATGTACACACACACATACACCCATATAAAAAGTCAGGATTGGTAAGTGAATAAATAACAAGGTCGAAACGTGACTCAATAAAGTGGCGTGTGCAAAAGCTAGAGTAAGTTATATAGGCTTAACTTAGTATCCGACACTAAAACATTTTTATCTCCGCTGAACTTGACCTTCTCCCTCTAGTTATAAGGGCTGTAACTGAATGATTACTTTAGCTTTTCCTGTTGTTATGTTGCTGACTTTAGTTACGCTCACCGGTTTGGGTAATATCGTTAACTCTTTAAACGTAGCAAAAAAATATGTGGATTTTTTTCATCCAGATGATTACTTAATTTAATGATTGAATTCATGAGTCAATTGAAACTAGACCACCATGGAAAACCTTGAAACACTGGACGGTCGTTTCATCCTAGTATTGGACTCCTCAACAGTGTGCACCCATTATCCCGCTTCGCGAGATTCGAACCCAGCACTTATCTGTCCCAATTTCGTGGATTGGTTGAAGTTAAACCGTCAAGCTGTTGGATGCCGACTGGCACAGTGGTCTAGCGGTTAAGCGTTCACGCGTGAAGCCTATAAGTCCTGAGTTCGAATCCCGAGGGTAATATCATGATCACACTCTGCTGAGGAGTCGCACACTAGGACGAAACGGTCTTCGAATGCTTTCAGATTTTCCATGGTGGTCTAGCTTTAATTGATTCATCAATTCAACAATTTAATTACTATATTATCTACAAAATTCTATAATCATACTTAATTATTTTTCATTCTAATATGTATATATATTATTTGAATATCAGTTATACACATGACATAATTATGTAATTCATAATAGTTACATTAATTTTATCAGTGAAAAGTTATCACATATAATTTGTTGAGGTTAATTATGACAGTATGATAATTTTCCATCTTTGTCTCTGTTGGTTCTCTGTTTGTTTGCTTGTTTCCTTCTTCTTTCCTAGAACACAACTTACTGTAACTTACGTATAGGACTGGAAGAAGAAAAAAAGGGTATGAATGTTGTCTATTCTTTTGATTTATTTATACAAACAGGGAGATCGTCTGTATTATTCTAGACATATATTCTGAGGCTTTTTTTTTCTTTCGTTTTTTTGTTTTTACAATGACAGTTGTTTTTATTGATTTATTTTTTCTGATCCCCAAATTGTGATTAATGTTAATGGATTTCTGTTGTTTTTTTGTTTTGTTTTTATAATGACAATCTTTACTCAGTATTATATAATTAATAAATGAATTGTAATTTATCATGGATGAGAGGGATAGTGAATGTATATCAGAAATATAGTATAAAATTAATATTATATAGAATTATATAGAAACTCACGAGGTGGGATCGCGGATGTACACTGTTCGGGTGTTTCATACTAGGACGGAATGGCCATCCAATGCTTCAAGGTTTTCTATGGTTACTTACTTACTTTCGCCTCATTGTACGAACATTCCATGTACCTAAATAAATGGTTGCTCTGGTTGTCAGAAGGGGCATCGGCTTCGTAACTTCCGGAGGAATTCGGCTTTCATCGTGAGGCGTCATAGTTCTTCTAAATGAAGACCTTATGACTCCCAAGGCAGAGTTTAAAAGGTTGGAATAATTTTTCTGGTTTGCGTTTTTTTAGCGAGTTAGTTTTCTACGGGATGGGGACGCTAACCCCATGCCCAACCCTCCTCCTTTATCCGGGCTTGGGACCGGCAGTAACCCCCGGAGTGACTCCAAGCGGAGTTTTCTATGGTGGTCTAGTTATAAGTGACTTATGAATTTGATTATTAAAATTTATTAATTTATTAATTCTTTACAAACCACAGACTACTTATAAGATGAATTCTGAAAAGAGAGATTGTGACTAATAGAGTTTAACTATGTTAGGAATAATATCATGTAATACTAATAATAAGGTACAATTGTTGCGTAATATTGAGGTCGAAAAAATGAGCTATTGATCAATGCAATTCTAAAATTAAATAGACAATTTTTAAAATGTTATTATTATTTTTACTGAAATCTAATTTGGACATCAGTTATGATTAACTACTAGCTCTACCAGGTTGTTATGTTTATAAAGTTTGAATGCTCTACTATTGATTCGGCTTATTCGGAACAGAACGAAGGATCAAGGATTCAGAGACTCGATAGGCTATTCTGGTCCGTTGTCCTCGACTCATCTAACTCGATCAAGAAGTCTTGGTAAGACGTAGAAGTGTATTCTACAGGCAACCAGTAGATACCAGGTCAGGTCAATCAGGCATACAAGTCAAGCGTATTTATACAAATATTTATAATCGATATTGTCATGGTAAAATGTTTTTAAACATTAATCAATAAGTTGATCAATCGATAGCCATTCAAATATTTAAACATTTAATCGATAAGTTAATCGATATGATAAGATAACAAAATATGAGTTTTGGGGATCTATCGTCCCCAACACAGGTAGAGATGATGTTCATAAAAAGCATTTGATTATATAACTAAAATCATTAACTTTCAAAGGTTATTCATTACATTCAGTATTGTTTTCTAGGACAATCGTATTATCTGAATATATTAGATTACCTTAGAAATTTTCAAGGTTGAATTCACGAGTCGATATCTAAGTTAGACCATCATTGAAAACCTGAAAACATTAGATAAACTTTCCATCCTAGTACAGGACCGAAAGTGTTGAATTCAAGTCTCTTGTACAAAATCATAAATGCTCACTGCTAAGAAATCTCATACTAGAACGAAACGACTATCTAATATTTTTAAGTTTTCATTGGTGGTCTTGTAGTGTACAGAACATGATTGGGGACAATCGAATGTATTTGAACACAAAATTACAGAGCATCTCAATAAAATATGAGAATCATATAGTAAATCGTTAATTTGCAAAATATTAATCCATCATCTTAAACTTGATTGTTCCTGTCGCAAACATCAATCCATTGTCTCCGATTTCAGTCTTAGTACTTTTTCATACTAAATGCGTTGCGTTTCCGTTTTTTCTTTATCGACCTTCTACTGAAATACATTCTATGCCTTACCACCGTTATATACTACCTATTTGGATATAAGTAACCCACATCACACTTTAACTTAGATCAACTCGTGAATTCAACAATGAAAATACTACAATCTTCACAAATCCCATTATTAATAATTGAAATGTCTTTAGTGAAATAAATAATTTTCTTAATAAATTAATTTCAATTATAATACAGACTATCATCTAGGAAGAAATTATTTTATTCTCTCACTCTCTCTCTCCCTACCCTACAAGTCATATGTCCTCCTAATAAATTTGTAAGATTTTTTGACTAAGATATTTAAAAAAAAAGAAAACAGAAAAGAAACTAACATTTTCATCTGCCCTAGTAACACAATTTTCTTTCGAATAGTGACATAGTTTAATAAAATTCTGAGATGAAGTAAAAAGAAAAAATAAAACGAGAGAAAAAAGGAGTTAGAATTTTTTTTTGTTTAAGTTGTTTTTTTCTTTTGTAAAGAAAAATCTAATTAAAACGCGAATTATTCAATATTCAATTTATCAATAATATTTTACTACTTTTATTTTATTGTTAATAAATATAAAATAATTAGTGATAAATAGTGAATGCTTTACAATAACAAAATTGTAGACATGGTCATATGATACAGTTTAATAAAAGTTTTTTAAACAATTGAATTTATTAGTTGATCTAAGCTAGACTATTAATGAAAACCTAGAAGCATTATACAGCCGTTTCGTCCTAGTGTGGGACTCTTCAGCCGCGTAAATATCTACACCTGGGATCTGCAGTTTCGCGCGTAATCACTTAATCTCTAGACTATTGAGCTTGAATCTATAAACGTCGAAGATTTGTAGCTTAGGTGGATGATGACTTCTACCCGAAGTTTGTATTGATGATATTGTTTAGAAGAACGATGAAAGCTCCAATACTAAACCATTCAGCTCAGAGAAAAAAACTCCATCAAAAAGTTGTTAATGTTTAATTTCGATCGATTCATGATCTTACGAAACCTTTCACCCATTGTCGAAAGTGGATAATTGTATCCACTTGACATGGATTGTACTTCACTGGTCATAACTTCTTGCTAGAAATTTAGACGATCCACTAATCACCAATGAGTACATGATTATTAGTATGGGGAATTGCGGAGATGAATTCAACTCGAATTCAATTGTTAAAATATTACAATCTCTAATAATCTTTACACCTATGAGATTTTTTTAGTTAAAAGCATTCATATATTTTTCTTATTTAAAGATTACATTCAAATTATTCTACAAAATAATGAAACCATTTGTTGTCTACTTACAGTAATAAAGGTCTGTTTTGTAAGCAATGATGAATAGTGGCTGGCAGTGGAATCCAGGATGCGCGTTTCGTTCTATCTGGGACTCGTCAGCTGGATGTACCTGAATTTAAGTTCACCCCATTGCACAAGCAAGTGGATATCAGGACTCAGTAGCTAAGTGAATAGTGAGATGGCGTTTGAAGCGAATGGTACTGGGTTCGAGTCCCAGAGTGAACATCAACTCTGAGATGCAGGTACATCCAGTTGACAAGTCTCGAATAGTACGAAACGCGCGTCCTGGATTCCACTGCCAGCCACTATCCATCATTGCTTACAAAAAGCTTTTGAATTAAGGCAATATAGAGGCATACACACAGTATGCATATATGCCAATAACAGACTGATCAATTGCAGTTTTAAACCTCAATGAGAAGATACAAGCCAAGGAATATGAAGTGAATAAAAGACTGTTATTTATTTATTTTTCCTATAGTGATGAATTAATTTAAAGTGATTACATATGTAATCAAACATTATTACGTACCAAATAATTGTCTGTGGTAGGCTAAAATAATATAATATTTGCAAATGAATTCTTAGAAATTAAATTCCATGGATTCATCTTTTTATTATTCACTGTTTATTTTGTTGGGTAAATTCATTTTACATCTGACGTAATTCGTATAATTTGTTTATATTTCAATGTTACATGTTATTGTAAGCTCGAAAAATAGAATTAGATTATGTTTATCAATCACAATGATCATATTCATTTAAATAAACATATAAACATGGTGAATACATCAGTTAACCATAATAATAATAATAATAATAATAATAATAATAATAATAATAATAATAATAATAATAATAATAATAATAATAGTAATAATAACAATAGTAATAATAATAGTAATAATCGATTTTCGTTGGTTTAATTTTACTGAAATCAAAGTCACTATAAGTTAGACAATCATTGAAAACCTAAAAGCACTGTATAGCTGTTTTGTTCCAGTATGGGACTTCTTAGATATAGGTATCTATGGCTTCATCACCGTGGATTGAATACAGAACCTTCGGTCTTGTATGCAGACGTTTAGCGTCTAGATGACCGAGTCATGGCTCAATTGAATACAAATACAACTTCAATCAATCCATGTTATTATGTGACTGTTGTCCACTGTCTTCGGTGAGTATCTTCTCTACACTAGACACGTTGGAGTTTTTATTGAGTTTCATAATATGAAACTACCATTTCAGTCCAGTGCTTTTAAGTTTCAATGGTGTTTTCCATAAATTTAGCATCCATTATCATTTTTTGAGGTTATACACGATCAGGCAGACTTATAGATGCTCTTCACTATAATACAAGTAAATCATGTTTCTCGGATAAAAATAAAATCAATCGTCTTACTAGGAACTAATACCAGTTTGTTTTAGATAACATCGAATATATTTTACGCCTATTTCAGTAAAACAGTTAACAATAAAGCTATGCATTACAGAAGAATACTTCTTTAGGAATTCGCTACTTGATTGATCTACATTCACTGTAAATCATTAGATGTTTAAACACAGTAAAATTTCTAGATTAAAAAGTGAAATTGAATGAATGACAACTTCAAGTTTTTTTCCTAAAAGAGATAATGTTAGTCATGTTCAACAGCCGATATTATAACTTACGAACACTTCGTCATTCAATAAACTTGATTACGATAGCTTGTAACATTTGTTTTTGTTTATTTTGAAATCTACTTATATAAAATCTTATATGAAATGTTATTAATACCAAACGTATTAAACTATGTACATAATAGAGATCATGAACGAATCAATGTTAGACCACTATTAAAAACCTCGAAGTACCGGGTGGCAGTTTTGCCCTAGTATAGGATTCCTCGTCAGTGATCGTTTACGATCCTGCACTCAAGATTCGAACCCAGGACCTTATCTTTCGCGTGAAAACGCTTAACCTCTACACCACTGAGCCGAGACTTAACTTTGTTATTGTATAACCTCAACTAATCCACTAGTTACTGACTTTAAGAGGTAATTATCGGAGTTATAGTGAGGAAGCGTGACAAGTGGAGCTCAGTCGTGTCAGGTGTGAGACGGTTACTGTCCAAAGACAATCGAAGATGGCCGTGCATTATCGTAGATTGGTTGAAGTTAGGTGTTTACCCACAAGACAGAATGTCATGGGTTCAAATCTTGCGTGTGAAAACGTGGATACGCACTGCCGAAGTGTCTCATACTATGGCAAAGTGACCGTCCAGTGCTTCCAGGTTTTTAATGGTAATCTAACAGTGATCGATTTATGATCTCGATTAAAACTCATCAATCTCTATAACCCTATACTGATGTCTAAATAACAGTTTAATAAAGTTTACTACTTAGATATGTTAAATTGCAAATTGATTCATACAAAATTAAACTCCAATCTTCTGAAGTTTACTGAAAGCATAGATATCAAGCAATAGTGATACATTTTTCTTTCCCATGGAAAATTATATTCACATTGTTATATCATTCTTTTTATCCCCAACTCTTTCGTTTAGTTTAATTTCATCATTTTCGAAGTTTCTTTTGAAAAACTTGTTTATTTCTAATTGGTTAACATTACCTTTCGTTATTCTTTACTAACATTAACTTATATTCAGTTACTTCGTTACGTAATCAACTCTAATTATTAGTTATTAAGTTGATGCTCTAGAACTTTCTCTCTGATACTGTATTTATCTGAAGTAAATTTTTTTAAATTTCATTAATATTATCGATATCTTAACTCTTTCATAAAAATGTACATTCCCTTATAATTACTTTCGGTTTCATAAAAATATGTGAATTTCTATGTAAATTTTGATTTTAAAATATTGTATAGATTAATAGTAGTCGATGATAATCTAACGAAATAAGATGAATTCATGTAAGGCGGCCTGCTTGAGCATCTGGGCTACCTGTTCCTGCCATCTAGATATTTCGATAAGTTATCTATTTTTGTTTGTTTTAATATATCATTATGTCTATTAATCGCATAACCTATCCTGGTGCATTTCTGAAAAGTGTATAACCTTTCGTTGTCAAAGTCACAAAAAGACCAATAAAGGATAATGTGGTCTCTGGCAATATGCAGGGAAAAGAATATACATTATTCAGATGTTCATTTACTGGACTGCTAACATCTAACCGGTGATCACTCAGTATTTATCGTCAGGATCGACCAAGAACTAAGAAATGGAAACTTGTTGAAATACTTTGTGCTACGAATTCTATATTGTACCAAAAATATAATATTGATTAATGCTTATAATAATAATAATTCTGCTCAAATTTTTATATACAAGGTAAAGAGGAAGGCCGAAGAACACCCGACATCGGGAAATGGAAGCAGATATGAAAAGAATAAATAGCAACTGGAAACAACAGGAAAGGATTACTCAGGACAGGGTTGGATGAACAGTACTAGTGGGTGGCCTATGCTCCCCAATGAGGGATAAGTAAGTACTTCAAGATAAACTTGTTTTAACCAATCAATAAACAATAGTCTTGGTGTTATCATTGTTTTTTTTTAAAAAAGAAACGGATGATCTATTCTCAGAGTGAGAATTAAAATTCCCTAGAAAAATATTAATGATTGTATGTTCAACGGATATATTTTGAAATACGTTCATATTTACTTCTAATCAGTCAATTAACTAAAAATACTTTTTTTTAGAAAAATGATCAAGTACCCTCCTAATCTGTTATAAAAAAAGGAAAGTATAAAAGGTCAGATAAGGTGAAATGAATTTATTGTACAAGATATAGATAACCCATTATGTCTGTTGACTGGAAGTATTGATGGCTAATAATAACAACAATAATAATAATAATAATAATGATAATAATAATAATAATGATAATAATAATAATAATAATTATTATTATAGAACAGACATCGTGAACATGAACAAGTCAATTTATACAAACTAAATTTACCGAAAATTAAATCCTGAAGCTATTTTAGCATTCGCATCATCTAATCGTCGAAATGAATAAGTTGGATTACAATATTGAACATCCCAATCAAGATCACATTTCCAATCGATATCAATCCCGATTACACCACCCTGTTATTAGAAAAATTGACAATGGATATAATGAGTATTGTTGGTAATTTATGTAAAATAGATATATTATCATAGTTTACATGAAGTGTTAAAGAAAATATCATTCAGAACTAGAAAAAGATAAGTGTAGCCATAAAGAAACTTGGCAGCTTCATAGATGATAACTATAGAATAAAGAAACAATTGTTGTTCAGTTGGATTTTTTGTCAGTATTATTTGAGTGACCTATAAATATCCTTCTGTCTATGATAACTCTGAAGAGCAGTTCGCTCTGTGCAATAGATGCTTAGATCTGTTTGTTTTTAACGAAATGTTCTGTGAGGGACTTTAATCAATATTAGCAGAAATAGATGGTGGCTAGCAGTGGAATCCATGACGCGTGTCCTGGCAATATCAAGGCAATCTGCACAGGATATACATATGTCAATAAGAAACTGATCACTTTCAGTTTTAAACATCAATGAGAACATTCAAACAACCAATGCAAAATGAATTAAACTTTAATTAATGTTCGTTCGAACCAACGTAATCACGGATAGCTTTGATTTCTTTTCGTAATAACAGTAGATTTGCTGTATGATGCAATTATTCAAACAATCATCTGTTACTGATACAATGCTCTAAGATTAGGTCTAACACTCAGGTTTGTATTGAGTGAAGAATGAATGACCTACAAATCTGGTTAGTGATTTTATCTCTAAGTAATAATCATTTGGGGAGCGGGACCAAGTCAATGTTACGGTCTTATCAGTAGCCATCACTTAGTCACACACCATTATCATTATATTAATCTATTTATTAACAAACAGAAATTTCGTTTAAATCAAATAACAGATAACCTCTTTCTATAACAATTATATTACTTACACAAATGACTCGATAAAATGCTACATTAGTAAATACTTTTCTTCCTATTTGTTACCAGTTAGGATTTGAAAATAAAATTTCACAAGTGAAATGAATAAAAAAAGGTTATAATGATTAGCAAATTGGAAATTCATGTCTAAGTAATCCCACTTCTTACATAAATCATTATTTATTCAAATTTACATCTATAAAAACAGTGATAACTTCAATAAATAATTAAAATTTCAGAACAGACCCGGTTGAACTCCACTGGTCACTACTTCTTACTAGAACTCCAGGAAATACTTCTTGGAGACCGTCACTAGTGAGCATAAGTTGATTCATATCAGAAGGGGTATTGTGGATATTATAGTAATTTTAATAGTTGAATTCATGAGTCAAATGAAGCTAGATCACAATGAAAAACCTAGAAACACTGGACGGCCGTTACGTCATGGAATGGGACCTCTCAGCAGTGGGCATACACGATCCCACATGGTGTGATTCGAAGTCAGGACCTGTCGGTCTCATGCGTGAACGCATAACCTCTAGACCACTGAGTGGGTCGGCATCCAACGGTGTTAATGTCTAACTTCAACCAAAAATTATCGATGATTGATAAAAATAGAGTTTATTCCTCCATAATCTTCGTCTATGTATTGATTCGCTTTTAACTCATTAGATTTAGTAAACGTATAGAAGAGATAGCAGAGATTTTTCACTATTGCTCTAGCTCCAATTGATTCATGAATCCAACTATTAAAATTACAATAATATCCACAATACCCCTTCTGATATGAATCAACATATGCTCACTAGTGACAGTCTTCAAGATGTATTTCCTGGAGTTCTAGTGAGAAGCAGTGACCAGTGGAGATCAACGGGGTCTGTTATGAGATGGTAACTCATTGAAAACAATGATGGATGTGCCACTCGATTTTGTGAATTGTTTGAAGTTAGACATTAAAACAGCTGGATGGCGACCGACTCAGTGATCTAGAGGTTAGGCGTCCGCGAGTGAGACCGATAGTTCCTGAGTTGGAATCTCGCCAGGTGGAATCATGTATGCGCTAACTGGATCATGGAAGATCATTGCTAAGGAGTCGCACAATAGGACGAAACGGCCGTCCAGTGTTCCCAGTTTTTCCAATGTGTTCTTGCTTCAACTGACTCATAATCTCAACCATTTAAATTACTATAATATCCACAAAACGCAATCTAGTACAAATATTTAAAACATTGAATTTGTCACACAGATAACTTGTTAGAATCATTTCCTCCGAAATGATTAAAAAATCTGATGATTCTTCCATTTGTCTACTTGAATGTAAGTAATTTAATAGTCAGTATTGTTTCATTTTGAAACATTGTTCAATGATTAGAATAATAATTTAAAATGCTTATCATCTTTGTTACCCTTGTTCAATTCAATCAATTAGGAACTATATCTTAAGTATGATTATAGTAGCTACAATTATTGATTTTCTCCTGACATGTGGATTGATTTCTTCTCTTCTTATCATTGTTTTTTCTTATTACATCTAACTGATATCATGTTATACGTAACCATGATTATTTATTTTATGAAGAAATATATTCTGACATTTTCCTAACGTAGATCAATTGAGTTAGGATATTCTTCAAGATGAAGTTATGAAATTGTGGAAGAGAAACTCGAGAAAGAAATTAGATTCATAAATACATTTTGATACAATGAAGAGTAATTGAGTAATTTATTTTGTGGGGTGAGGGCGGGGGGTAATATATTTGTTTAGATAATTAAAATAATTTTTCACTATTTGAATTCATGAATTGATTTAGGCTAGACCACCATTGAAAACCTGGAAATGCTGTATGGTCATTCCGCCATAATATGGGACTGCTCAACAGTGCGCATACAAAATGCCGCACGCAGTACTCCAACCCAACGCCTTTTGTATCACGTGCAAACACTTGACCTCTAGACCAATCCAACGGTGTTAATGTGTAACTTCAATCAATCCACTTTTTTTCACAACCGTCCATCATTGTTTTCAGAGAGTAACTGCCTAACAACAGACAGTTAAACTCTATTAGTCACAGCATCTTACTAGAACTTCAGGAAATCTATCTTGAAACTGGCCACTAGTGATTTGGTTTAAATCCCGTGTGTGGGGTCGTCAATAAGTACTATTGAGGAGTCCCATACTGAAACGAAACGGCCGTTTACTGCTTTCAGATTTTTAACGATGATCTAGCTTAAATTGACTCATGAATTCACCTATTGAAAAACTACTATGATCTTCAAAAACCCTCATTCTGATAAAGTGTTTTTCCTTACAAATCATCAGGGTAGACTAGTGTATTATTTATTCTGTGTTTTGATCTTAGGATAAAAAAAGACGTTATACTTTCTTTGTGGTCAACATTTGAAAATTTTCAATGGAGTAATATAGTAATAAAGTATACCTTTATTTTTTGACCACATATAGAAAAGATTGATCTTATCGGATTGTTCAAATCAATATTTAAACGAATAAGTGTCATGGTGTAAACAAAATCATTGTTTCAAATGTTTCTAACTAATTTTGTGTGGGTACAATGAAACATTTAAATTTCGCTTATTTTTAGTAGACTTTATATTCTACGAATAATTGATTTATAGTTGAATACATGAGTCAATTAAAGCTAGATCACCATGGAAAACCTAGAAGCACTGGGTGGCCATTTGTCCTATTGTGCGACTTCTCAGCAGTGTACATCTATCATATCGCCCCGCGGGATTCAAACCGAGGACTTATTGGTCTCGTGCGCGAACGCTTAATCACTAGACCAACAACGGTATTAATGTTTAATTTCTTTTCATCCACTAAATTGAGCCACTGTCCACCATTGTCTTTTCAGTGAGTTACTATCTTACAACAGTTAACTTATGAATTCGACTATAAAATTACTAAAATCTCCACAAAACCCCCCTTCTGATAATACTTTATTTACTCAGACAGGAAGTAACAATCAGATTTGATAATACGTTAGTAATAATAATAATAATTACTATTATTATTATACAGACTAATCGGAATTGTATTTTGTCAAATGAAAGTTTTATATTAAGACTAAATACTGAAAAGAATGATTTCAAATGAATAATCATATCAATGTATGGTATTTCTTTGATTATGCATATTTTATATAGATTAGTTGATACCATGTAAATAGTATTGCTGATTAGATTCTGGAGCATTAATTATAGGGTAATAAATATCATTGGATTATTCGATATTATACAAAACAATAATTATAGTTAAATGCTGACTTCCTGTTGGTAAATATTTTATTTTAATTCATATTAGTAGTATTGTAATAAGTAGTATAATCGGTAGGTTATATATATTTATATATCTATATTATTGAATTTAATTATTTTATTGAATGTTCAATTTTTTGTAGAACAATTGGTTTAATTATAAATATAATATTTCATAACTTAATTAATTTTTTAATTGGCGGTTTATTATTGTTTGATGGTTTCATGTACTCATTTTCAACGCTATTACTATTCTCTAGCGGATTCATAATAATGAAAGCTAATCGGATTCAATAAATTTTATTCTTTGAAAAGTATAACCCCATTTATAGTTCTTCTACAGTTATTGTTGATCTCAAGTTTGGGTAAAGGAGAAGGATCAGGCATAGCAGTCGGCAACCCAATCCCGTAGAAAAAAATCTTGCTAAACCAAAACAACAAAAAAACGTCAGCCAGATGAAACAAGTTAAACCATTTAAACTTTGCCTTGGGAGTTGAAAGAAGATAGTAGTTTGAAAAGTATATTGGAAAAAAAATGGACAGATTAATTTTATTTTTAGAAAAAATATCGTTTTATAAAGATGTTGTCACAATGAATACCTACATATTAACATTGCACCTACGATGCAGTGATGACTTTTGAAGTCAGGTATGAAGATAATAATGAATGGATTACTTGAATTTTGAAAAATAACGTTGTTCAGCTTTGAACAATAAAAAAACGATAATTTAAAGTTAGCAATTTTAATATATATATATATATCTCAGAAAGGGTTTTGTGGAGATTTTAGTAATTTTAATAGTTCAATTCATGAGCCAACTGAAGCTAGATCACCGTGGAAAACCTAGAAACACTGGACGGCCGTTT